GTTGCAGCGTCCCGGGGTCTCGTGATTCCCTTTTGCGATCATTTTTTGCACTTGCAACCTTTGTGGCATCCTCGTGGTTGCATGAGCAAAATTAGGATGTTTGGCAACCTGACTCACATTTATGACGGTTGCAGCGTCCCGGGGTCCCGTGATCCCCTTTTGTGACCATTTTTTGCACTTGCGACCTTTGTGGCCTCCTCGTGGTCGCACGAGCAAAATTAGGACGTTTGGCAACTTGACTCACATTTATGACGGTTGCAGCGTCCCGGGGTCCCGTGATTCCCTTTTGCGACCATTTTTTGCACTTGCGACCTTTGTGGCCTCCTCGTGGTCGCACGAGCAAAATTAGGACGTTTGGCAACCTGACTCACATTTATGACGGTTGCAGCGTCCCGGGGTCTCGTGATTCCCTTTTGCGATCATTTTTTGCACTTGCAACCTTTGTGGCATCCTCATGGCCGCATGAGCAAAATTAGGACGTTTGGCAACTTGACTCATATTTATGGCGGTTGCAGGGGTCCCGTGATCCCCTTTTGCGACCATTTTTTGCACTTGCGACCTTTGTGGCATTCTCGTGGTTGCATGATCAAAATTAGGACGTTTGGCAACTTGACTCATAGTTATGACGGTTGCAGTGTCCCGGGGTCCCGTGATCCCCTTTTGCAACCTTCTGACAAGCAAAGTCAGTGGGGAAGCCAGATTCACTTAATCGTGTTACTTACCTTATCGACTGAAGTGATTCACTTAACAACTGTGGCAAGAAAGGTCGTAAAATGGGGCAAAACTCACTTAACAAATGTCTCAATAATAGAAATTTTGGGCTCAATGGAGGTAAGTCAAGGACTACCTGTAGTTCGACTTTGAAACTGAGGATGGGCTGGGAAAACATGCTCTGGGGACAAGCTGAGTTACTTGTCTGTTTTGATGGCAGAAGAACCAACATCGCTGCAAATCTCATCCCAGTACAAAGCTTAGTTTAGGCTGATCTCAGATATCCTGCATTGTAAACATGTTTGTAATTTACTCCTGTCCTTACTCAGAAATGATTCCTGATTCCTTATAATTTTTCACTTATTTTCAATGAGTATTAATAGAAATGAGAGGAGGTGCATCTGAAAATATTCCAAGCGCTTTCTGTTGTGGGAAGAATTCAGAGAAAGAAATATTTTGGGGAATATTAAAAAGGCAGAATATATTTCCCCAAAGGAATAATGGAGAAGGTCTTTAAAAAGGCAGAAACTTCTACACACACACACACACAGAGAGAGAGAGAGAGAGAGAGAGAGAGACAACCCCCAGCCAGACAACTCAGCAGAAACCAGCTTTTAGAAATGCAGATGTAATAATCCATTCAGGAAGCTTGAAGCCTTCCAGCTAGAAACTGAAGAAATTAGGAAAGACCCTTAAAATCTATGTACCCCACCCAAATTCTAAGGACAGGAAACAATAGGATTAACCCACCACCAAAAGGGCACCCACAGACTCAAGTCACAGGAAATACAAAGCCTCAAACAGGAACAGGAAACGATCTCAAGAGCCCCAGAAGGTATAAAAACCCACTCCCTGCTACATGTGGTCACTCTCTTTTTCCAGAGCCATCTTTCTGTCTGGCTCTCCTCTTCAATAAACTACAACCTTCTTTCTAAAGCAGTCTCCATTTTGATTATTCCCGGCTTGGACTGGACCCGGATGAAGATTTTTCCTTCAACACTGTTATAAGACAATCATGGTTTGATACATTGGAAACCCTAGACAGATGTGAAGAAAGTTCGTCCCAATCTTTTTTACTGTTATGACATTATTCTTTTTTTTTGTACAGATTAACCATTAAAGAAGTCACGAGGATTATATTTTGTTTAATATAGTCATAAGGACTACCAGTTTATAAAGTAACCAATAGGACTTCTTAAAAAGTGGCACGTAGTAGGCCCCCTCAGGCCTAAGGTGCTAGGTTTCAGAGATCCAATCCAAATTATTCGTTATTCTAATCAGTTTGGTTGCACTACTTATTCTGTTATCTCCATTTATAATCAACTCCCGACAGAGCATGTGAGCATAAACAATTGCCCTTTATTATCAAGGCAAGGGGAACAATCGCAGCCACGTTTCCTGTGGGTAGAATCCAAACTCCATAGCTAAGTAATAACTTTCATGCCCAGAGGCAGAGCCTGTGATTATTGCTACCTGTTGTTGGGATGGGGAAGAAAGGCTTCCATCAGGTTAAAGCCATGGGAAAAATCTTAGATCTTTTGTTTTACTACTAAGAATTGAAATCCCTCTGAGTCCAACTGTCAGCATTCTCTGCTGAACCCGGGGTGGGGTTGAAGGGAATTAGCTAATAGGGTTCAAGGCTATTTTTTTTTTTTAAAGTTTGGTCTGAAGGCTTCTAGGAGGAGGTGAGGCAATAAAGCATCTTTTTCTGACGTGCTGAGCCATGTCTCTGGTACAAAATGAAACAAACTGCAGGCTAGGGAGAAACTCTCTTGGCTGCTATCCCAGTCCAATTTGAGGTAGCTGGCTGGGAGAAATGTGAATTGAGACCAAAACCAGAACGAGTTTGACAAGAATAGATAGAGAAGCAAAGTTCACGGGAAAAAGCTGCAGCTTTTGTGGAGTTCTAAGAGTGAAACAAGATGTCTTGTTTCTGGATTAATCTAGATCAGGGGTCTTCAAACTTGGCCCTTTTATGACTTGTGGACTTCCAACTCCCAGAATTCCTCAGCCAGCGTGCTGGACATGGTCACAGAAATTGTTTTAGGACAATGCCGGCTCCCTCAACCAAGAAACAGAGATGAGCGCCATTCCCTAGATCGGACATGACTGGAAGGGAAACCTTTACCTTTACTATTTGTCCAGTTCCTAATATTTTTAAAAAGAAGGAACAATGGGCTTGAGTAAAGATCATAACTAGCAGCAACAAATTGATTGGATTGTTTAGGCTCCTTTTAAAAAAAACAAAACAAAAAACAGACCCCGCTAGGGTGAGCATCATAATATTTATTTGGAATACTGCTAAAAAAAAAAAAAGGGGGGGGGAGTCTTTTCCTGATCAAAAAGGAAGCTAAGGGGAAGCATGATGAATTTAGCAGCTACATTTATTGCTGGAATCAGCTGATGTACAAGTTGAAATAAAAAGATCAGGACTGGT